TCCTGCTCACCAAGGCCCCCCCACCCATGTCAGAGTCCAATACACAACAATGCTAAAAAGTCCTGATCAAGAAATAATAGAAACACAGGAATGACACAAAACAATCAGCAAACCAGAGGTGAGACATAGGCTATGTTCACATTACCTGCTGAAGTGACCCAAGTTGGTTTTGTTCCCTTCCAAGTGACTCAGATCTTTTCATGAATGTGTGAACAAACCAAATAGGATTTTTTTTTTTTTTTACACTGAATCTAGACCACCTCCATGTGGTCCTAGATCTGATTCACATCCAATATTTAACAGTCAGATTCATGTGGTTTTTTTTTTTTACGCCTTGCTCTTGTGTATGTGCGCATATCGCCTGTCATCGGTCTCGGCCCCTCACAGGCCGGTAAAAATAAACACAGAGGACAGCAACAGGGTCAATGGAGAGATGAGAACATTTCATTTTTGTTGAACATTTATGGAGGAGAAAAAACTGGAAGAAACATATCAAAAGCAAGCAGCCTTTCAGGGAACTGTGCTAATCGACTGTCACACAAATCACACTGTTATTCCTGCATGCGGCTCACATTTCCGTTAACTATGCACATGCATGGCAGCTTAGGGTGTCCATGGCGTTCGCACACGGAGTCACATAAAGGCCTGTAAAGTGAACGTAGCCATACTGTAGCTTAAACTTCTCCATTGAAACTGCACTTAACAAGGGGAAAATTACCTTCCGACTAAAGGTTGTTCCTGCATACAGCTTCAACTGGAGATCATCTACACCCACTGAAACCCATTAAACCCACAATGTCTCAATCAGGAAGTACAGCTTCAAATAGAAGATGGCAAATACCAATGATTTCTACTCTTACAAGGAGCTGTATATTAAATAAAAAATAAATAGATATTTAAAAGGAAGTGAAAGAACAGGCCATCTATAATGTTACTGTATTTTTTCTTCATTTTTACATTTTCTAAGAAATATCTGACATAAGAAAAACATTACTTATGCCTTTTCAGATTCTAAAATTTTTTTTTTACCTATAAAGAGGATCATACAGATATACAGTAAAATAAGAGGAAAAACTACAACAGAAGGAAGTCTTTAAAACTATATGCAAAGGCATTTTGAAAACATAATAAATAAATAAAATACCAATATCATGATGATAGTGTAATTACAACTGAGTGAGTGTCTAAATCAAAGCAGAGGCAAAAAGAGTGAGTTTTATAGTACTTGGTTTTTGCATTAAGGTCAATAAGAGACCTCTTGGTAAAAAGTGTTGGGGGGGGTTATATTAGGTGCTGATGAAGAGCCTCCATGTCAGTTGGCTGCAAGTCCAGTAGCTTCAGAAGAGAGCCTGAGAAGCCCAAGAAAAAACAGAAAGCCTTCAACCTCAATGCTTGGTTCCAAATACAATAGATTAAATATTGACACATTGCTTGATGTGCAGCCATATTTAATACGGGATGATCACTTTGACTGCGTTTATGCTCAGACCATCTCAGCATGAGCATGAACGCATCACATGATTTTCGCAAAACATCATATGCTGTCCTGAAATACCTGCTGCAATTTGGCAATAAATAAAAAAAGCTGTGTGAAACATGACATCAAACCCAGAGGTGCAAGAACAATCTATTATTCACTGCTTCGTTTAATATTTATCCCATCTTCATCAGATTTATGGTCTGTAAATCAGACCCGACTGATCCTAGGTAATGATTACATTCTAATAACCATTTTCCCACCCTAATTACTCAAAGTTTGTTTAGCACTTTTCATACAAGTCAGCCATTATGCAAGGTAAAGAGCAACGAGCAACAGCCACCATAAGATTCATTAGGTCCTATTCTGATTGGCTGAGAGTGAAGTTGAGTCATCATCTCCAGCCAATCAGAGCAGGTGCTCATAAATAATGTAAATTTTATGTTAACTTCCGAAATCAGCCTTAGAGAATCTTAACTTTAGGGGAATAAAATGTCAAAGGGAATTTAAAATACACTCAATGGCTCAAAAAGGGCCACAATACCACCTCTTTTAAAAAAAAAAAAACTTAATACATTATTGTCCATTGGATGCTAAACCCTCAAACTGCACTCTAGAAAAACAGACCGACAAAAAGTAAGACTTGACACACTGCTATACTGTGTTCCTGTCAACTTGCTGCTCTGTGACAGGTGAGCTGCACTACCCTACAGACTCCTTACCTGGCATTGATCAGATACTCAGCCAGGCTGATACTGGCATGGGAGCCAGTGATGGTGACCTGTCTGTCAGTTGAGCCCTCCACAGGGTTGGCAATCTTGATCTGAGCCCCTGACATCTGACGGATCTCATTGATCTTTGCACCCTGACGACCAATGATGCAGCCAATGAGCTGTGGAAGAAGACAAAAACATGAGGAATTCATCAACACCCTCAGTCCCACTAGTCAAAGGAAACCAAGAAAACAGGCTACTAATAAAAGATAAATGCAACATACATCGTTCGGAATGGTCAGCTCATGAGAGCCGGTTTGTGCAGAGGCATCCATCCCAGCTAAAGAAATGCATAGAAACCCAGTGAGAGTACTGACTAAGTGGATTATTACAAATCTACAACAATCACATTCTTGCTTTCAATCTGTCCACGTACCCTGGAAGCCCTGGTTGCCATGTGCAATGGGGAAGGGGCTCTGCTGCATGGCCAGCTGGTGAAGCTTGGTGAGCTGTTGAAACAACGCAGGAAAAGACATGGAGAAGAAACGAACACAGGAACCATCAGTGAGGAAATGACATTTCAAAGCTGGAATTGTGCTAATTACTTCCATTTGTAATAAGTTATAATGATAATGACAGGAAAATGTGAAAAGGATCATGGGACCCATGGCTGAGACTAAAGGTGAAAAAAAGAAAAAAAATGTTGATGTTAGAAATTTTATCTATAATCTTTGGAAATATTAAATGGATGCGTCTATCAAGCAGTGGTGTCTTGGGGGTGGAAGGAATCAGAGAGATGAAATAAGGTGGCATGGCTTCCCAGGACCGAAGTTGCAAATATTTTGTATCACTTACAGAAGGCCCTTCACTTACATCAGGCTGTGGAATGGCATGCTGCCCTTGGACAGCATATGCCTGCAAAGAGAAAGCAGCAATTAGGGGGTGTGGCAGTGTCAGACACAGTATAATCCAGTGTCCATCAATCCCTTGTCCCTGGTGCGGTACAAGAACAAAGCAAAACCTGCTACAGACAGCATACCAGCAGGACTAAACAGTACGAGTGACAAACTGAAAGGAACAAACAAACGCATCCATTGTTTACCTGACCACCTGCAAAGATGACAGGAGAGCCTGAGGGTTTGGGTCTGTACGGGATGGTCACTCCCTTCGGTGGTGACTAAGAAACCAGAAACATCCACTAGTGATCACTGAAGTAACATCAACAGTAACACAAAAACCATCAAGAGTATCAATAATCAAGATTGTAAGTTTCCAAACAAGTAACAGCACAATAAAGTGTCCACACCTCAAGCATGACGACGCAGATCTGCTTGACACACTCAATAATGGACTGCGGGGTCCCTGCAACAGTGATGGCACGCTCTGTTGAGTTGGGCAACATGTCCCCTGCTACTTGTACCTGAGCTCCTGCTGACTGCAGAGACACAAAGTTTGGTCACATAAGGGATAAGACCATTACAAACACTACAATAAATGAACACACAAAATGACAAACCTCTCTGATTTCCTTGATCTTGCAGCCACCTTTGCCAATGAGGGAGCCACACTGGCTGGCAGGCACAACGAGGCGCATGGTGACTGGTGGTTTGCTGGTGGCCGTACTGTTAGTCATTGAGGTGCTGATGTCCTGGAGGAAAAGTAAGAAAACTTAGAAAATCTGATAGTTAACTTCTAAAGCTGCAAAGGGTTTTGTTTAAGAAGCCAATCTAACCTCCTCCAGTTTCTCAATGATCATGGAAAAGGCTTTGAAGATGGAGGTGGTTGGTCCTGCGAGGGTTATGATCCTCTCTGGACAGTTCCCCTCTGAGATATTGATGCGAGCACCACTCTGCACAGACAGTGGTAACAAAACGGTAACTATAAAATCGGTCACAGCATTATCATATTATGTAAGAGTCAGTGTTCACTTTTCCTGTTGCTTGACCACGTAACAAAAAAACACATCTTACCTCCTCTCTCATCTTCTTAACGGATTCTCCTTTCTGTAAGGAAAGCACACATTTCCATTATTTACAAAACCCACTAAGGGACAAGATGTAGATACCATCATTCTGGCAGTAAAAACAAACTTACCTTGCCAATGATGCTTCCAACCTCCTACAGATAAGAACAAAAATGCATGTTAGCATTACTTATTCTCCAAGGTCACCGCAGAGAATACCCAAGTTTGTTCATTTTTATTTCACAGTAATTGAAATGCGGACTACTCTGATTATATTTGGGAATGACTGCAGAACTTGAAGTGTGGCTCAGATTTGTTACCAAACACTGCATGCAGTCACACTCACCTTCCCGTGCATGAGTAGCCTGATGGTTAAGGTGACATTAAGTCCTCCTCCAACCAGACTTGAGTCCATTGCTGCAGCTGAATCCAGACGCTAACCTGGCCAACAGAGTGAGTCTATGGTCACTGGGTCAATGTCTGCAATAGAGTGGAAAATGTGACCATTAGTGGGAAAAAAAGTAGTATCTGGAAAGTAAGAGGACATGTCAGAAGAAAGCCTTGTTTACTAAGAATCTGATACAAGTGGGAATCAATAAAGTGATGCAGGCAGATAAAGTCTTGTAGACTTGTTCTGCGGTTCAATTACGCTAACTAGTCGCTTCGAAAGAATGAGACGTTTCAGGCCAGTAATTCACGTTAGGCTGGCTCGGGTCCACTCATTCAGCGTTAGCACAATGCCCCACTGTCTCACTGTGGCACTGTCTATTTCCTGATAATGAACAGCAGTGGCGACATAGCTTGTTACTTTATTTTCAAGGCCTCACGCTACATGCAAGCTACCAACGTTGTCCCTATATTTTAACAGGTTTCCACTGACTGCAGACCGATAGTACCAATAACAAAGATCATGGGGTAATGATAACGTTGTTTTTGGAAACGCTTCACACCTAGTCACGCAAACAAGATTTCAAGGATAAGTTAGTTAGCACCGTAACATTTCGACCGAAACTTCCCAAATGCCTACATATCATTATAGTTGTAATAATTAACTACCAAAAATGTAAATTTCACTAGAACAACAGCAGCTAGCAACTGATTACTCATCAGGATGAACACAGATAATTTTCCATCTAAGTCGCTAGCGTTAGCATCATCCATCCAGAAAATAGTCTGATCCCGCGGCCTACAGAGAGTTATCCCTGTCCTTCACTCAGAAACAAAGCCATATTTCTGGAATACTTACTCGAACCGTCCCGTGAAACGTGTTCAGGGGGTGGGTAGGGTGGCAAGGGTAAAAGGGGAGAGGTTCGGGAGGGAGTTTTAAAAGGACTCGGGGAAGAGGGAAGAGACGCCGCCGTACAATCGGACTCCACTCTTCTGCTTGGCACAAAAGACGAAATGTATTCAACTTTGACCTTTCAAGTGCCCCGCCCCTCCGACCGGATCAACCCCGCCCACCGAGGGGTCACTGCTCCTCCCTCCACGACAATAAATAAATAAATCATAACGTCTAACATTGGGTGAAAAGATATATTGGACGCCTGTGATTTTGTAGGGGAAAAACTTTTTTTGTTTTTCTTTGTGTTTACACGTATATTTTCTACAGACATGCCGCGTTTCAATCAATTACGATTGTTTACATTGATATTGTAGCATGCTGCGGGGGCAGTGGAGCTCCAGCAGACCCTATTGACAGAGACTGTGTGTGTTCCAGAGTTACTCTCTTGTTCTGATATAGGGATAGGACCAGACCAGCTAATTGTTGATGCACTCCTGAGGATATTTATTTTGTTTTTACAGCTACATGTGTAAAATACCAGGGCAGTGATTCAGGTCTGTTGATTACTGAATTGTCTGTTCATGTCCTTGGCAGTGTCACAGCCTCTCTGTTTATTGTTGGTAATTTTGTGTTTGTGTGATTATGGTGCTATTATCTGAGAGAGTCTAGGGAAGCCATACCAAGGAAGATGATGATTGCGAATTACAATGTATACATTGCAACTTGAAATCAACAACACAACACAGTAACACAGCAGCACAGTTTTACATTAGGCAGTGTTCAAAAATGCACATCCTTCCAGTTTTGAATTAACATATACTGTAGGGATAATAGTTGTTCGACTGCACTTGTTTTGGAGTTTATATTGCCCATGCAATATACCATGGCTATGTTACATTTTGCTGTTGACTGTTTATGTCCATGTTGCATCTACCACGGTGTCCATAGCCTCGACTGACTGATGTTCATTTTTCCTTGTGTGAGTTTGTGCCATTTTGTAATTGATTATAGTGAGGCTTTATGTAGGAAGATGGTTGGCAGTCTATTGTTTGCAAGAACAACTGGTTGTCCTTTTATAGGAACTGAGTTATTGAATGAAGGCCCAGTACGGTAGAATGGGCTGCCACTAAGTTGTTGTGCCACTGGTTGAACACAAACAGTATGTCAGATGGTACATTATAATTTCTATAAATCATTTGATGTTGATGCCTGTGGTTGTGTTACATTTGTTTAATGTAAATATCTTAACACTTTCACTCAAACCAAACAGTTCTGCTGTTGTTACTATAATGCATAGTAAAGAGAGTAATTAACCCTAAAATGCTGTTGTTTATGTATGAACATTGCCATGTACATTCAACATTTTGAATATTTTATGGCATGGTGTACTTATTGGATAAATGGTAAAAGAAAAGACACCGCAGTGTACATAATTTTATGATTACGGGATCTCAGAAAGCCATGTTAGTTCTATATTATTCACATCTTGTTACTAAAATTCTCTGGTAGTTTTCATCTGTGTGTAGGCCTCATATTCAACAGGGCATTTTACCAATAGGGTGGTGGAAAAACATTGTCAGTTCAGTGCCACTAATGCAAGTATCGACATTCAAAGAAATGTATTAATCTCAGGTGTAAGTTGCTCCATAGTGTTACAGCTGCCCTCTGCTCAAAAGAAACGATCCACGTTGCCATAAATACAAATATTTAACATTTCAATCAATAAAAAAATATAAAAAAGATGTAAAAATACAGTGATCAATAAACAGTGCAGGCATTATTTGTAGGTTATAAATGTAATAAACAGTAATTATATAAAAATAAGCAAAGTGAAATGGTTCATGCTGGTAATAAAATTTATCCTTTTTTTAAGTTGTTGTCAACACCTGGCCAGTGCAAATGATCCTAGATTTGAAGTGGGGATGTGGGGATGTACTGTAGGATGCGCTGTTGTATTGTCTCATAGTGTCCTTGCCACTAATAACACACTGCTGCAGTTTTCTGTAAAACCAACAGATGGCACAATAACGCTGTGAGTGGTAAGAGTCCTGATCTGAGCTGGCTGCTGTCCTCTTTTTAAGCCTACACCCCTTCCAGCATTGCTCAGATAAAAATCCTTCATAGCTGGCTGTGTTTACTGAGGTGTCCAGACCTTAACAATTAAAAAAATTAATTTACTGAACAAGTAGTCTTAAGCATAGCACTATGAAAAAGGCTTTTCACCCAATTAAATATATACAATTATAAGTAGTCTAATAGCAAAGGTGATTAGTCCTCACTCCCAGGAATAGTTTGGTGAATGAGTCAGCACTCTAAATATAACTTTTCAATGAGTAGCCAGCAACTGTGGCTATGTGGTATTAGTCGCAGAGCAGTCAAATGTGTGAGCAGAGAATTATAACAACTAATAACTGTATTTTTTTTTCTTCCCAGTGTAGACACCACTGAGTCTGTGTGCTCCAAGTTTCAGCATTTCTGGACATTTCTGAAGATGAGCAGGTGACAGTTGGTCAGTAATTGGATCATATGGTCAGCATGGCCGTAAAATTGGCCTTTGCTCTAAATGGTACTCTGGAATATTTTAAATATAATCTAAACATTGGTCTGCCGATTTTAGCCTTGATGATATTTACAAAGTGGACATAATGATGTTTAATAATACAGTGTCAACTTGGCCAAAAAGAAGACTTCGGGAGTTTAGCTGTTACCTATTATTATTATTGTTGCTGTTATTATTATTATCCATACATAGACTATGATTGATGACTTTCTACTGAATGAATGATGGCCTTGTTTTCCTGCAAGGCTGCTGCTTTGTTGTCATATGATTGATGAGCTAAACAAGGATCTTAATTGTCTGCCAGTGTTTATTTTGAATTAGAAAGAATAAAGCACTGGATTTTACAGTTAAATCCTCAGAATTGTGATGTTCTTGTATCAGAGTACTACAGCATATAAGCCAGGCAAAGAGAAGAGACAAATAAATTAGAACAGTTTAGCCCTATACCCATGTGTTCATGGTCTGGTTGACAGAGTATTGTGCCTGAACCCACTCAGCACATGTTCGTTAATCTGGTGCACATCAGAGCACCCACAATACAATTAATGACCATAATAGATTGCTATTGTTTGTAACCAATCTTATATTCCTTAATCTTTTGTACATTCAATTCTCTGTTAAAAAATAATGTCCTACATGTGCATGACTCATGAATCATGCCTGGCTCAGTTTCATTGATCTAAAATCACTCTACTTTTGATAGATTACTTCTACACTGGAAGAAGTGGCGCTCAGCTATTCTGAAAGTAGTTTGTCTCAACACTTCCTGTTTTTCTTTTCTTTTTCAAACATGAATCCAGGCAGTAGATGTTTGAGTTCACTTTTAAAAACCCATCTGCAGTGCTGCCTGAAGAGTGGGTTTACAAGGCTGGTGGCGGTTTTAAAATAGTGTCATAGTTGACCAGATTTGCTCCATGGTCTAGTGAAAGGTAAAACAGCCTGTACCTGGAAGTACACATCCTGCACACTACATGAACAATGCTGGTTCTAAAAGTACACTAAAGGGAAAATAAATAAAAACACATGAAGCAAAAGACAAAGAACAACCGATTTGTCATTCAAATGTGCTTATTTCTTTGATCTGAAGAGTGATGAGTGAGAACTGGATTATACAAAAGAAACTGTCTGTGTGTCTCCCCTTATCAAGCCAGGGGTTTCATAATCATCTGCTGACTTGAATCTCTGCATCTTTCTCACAATTTGTGCTCTTTTAAGTCCTCACTCTTCTCTGTTGCACCCCCTGCCAAATTCAATGCATCCTCCCCTTGTTTCCTGTTTTTCTCCTTCAGTGCTTTTATCTGACAGGCCCAGTGGCACTCTTGCTCTCTTCCACCCCTTTTCCCTCCACCGGTGAGTGGTCATTGATTACTGTACATGGATTGTATGATGAAATGCCACTCGCCCACCTAACATCCTCTTGTCAGCTGCCCCTGACATCCCACCGCCTCTGTGCATTGCAGACTGTCTTTGCCAGCCTGTTTAATGCCCACAATGCTAGATTACCATGCTGTAATCTCGATTCATATCTGGAAACGTTTCTGTTTTTGGCTAAATTGGTGCGTGATACCATGCATTGACCTTTTAACTACAATAACAGCACATATTTGCTGCACATGTGATGCCAAGTGCAATTTTATATGACAGGAAACACAACTGTTTACAGTGATTTAAACATATTTTCTTTAGCTGTAAATTGTCAGTGGAAATTAAGTAAATGATCTGGATTACAGTGTGAAACCTGATGACACACTCAAAGCCAGAGAGAGGGGTATCCAATTAGTCACCTAATTAGCAAGTACATGCTGTTTTAAAAATTAAAGCTTTTGAAAATAAATGGAAAACAACAGCACTGAGGATACACCAGTGCATACACCTCCAAAATGATGTCTGTTATTTTTACTCTTTGGTACATTTAACTGATCTGTGTGCACCGTTCTCTTCCCATTCGTGATTCCTGACATCAGAAACAGGCTATGTGCTCTGTGTGTGTTCATGGCAGAAGAAAAGTTGGGAGTTGTTTGACAGAGCCTTGGGCAAGTTGTACAGATCTCCACACTCAGTAAAATGGAGATGCAGAGATGCATAGTGGGACTGAGTTTCCTCTGCAGGGGTGTGAACACAACCAAAAGCATGTGCTTGTATGGTGACCACTGTTACTACCTTCCCACAGCCATAGATGGTCCTGCAGGGTCACAGCGAGAGGTAACACGTGCCCGTCTAAACTGTCCAGTCAGGAATCAGAAAGGATGTAGAGTGGTTGTGACTCTCTGGTCTTATTTTAGGAAGCTCATCCGCAAATAGGTTGCTCCCACAGAGGCAAATAATTGGCGTGATGTCTTGGGGGCACAAGCAGTCTGCATTTTAATGCATATCCTCCACAGGAAGAACCCAGTTATGCAGGCTACTGGCCACCCACTCTAGGCTTTACTGGAATAAAACATAAAACAACATATGGAGTTAAATGATATTTCACTCATATAGAGACTAATACCAATTGTGATGACAGAATTTAGCAGAGATTAATCTTGGTGAAGTAAAATGTTTGTAGTACTGCTTTAAAGGTGAGGGCATGTATTTTATTTATAATATTTTTAGTTCCTCAGTTTCTTCTGTTTATTAAAGAGTCCACACGATTGACTGACTGTCGGTGACTGAGGTGCAGTTCTTGCTGTCAGATGTCAATTTATATCTACCTTATATTAAGTTTATTAGGAAGGATTTATATGAAATTTTGTGCAGACTTTCATTTTGGTGCCCAGAAAATGAAACCCAATGTTCTGTTATCACTTTATCTGAGACCATCATTAGGTTGACATTTTTGTTTTTTAGTTAGTTAAACAGCACCTATTGGAAGAACTGCCACATTCATAGCCCCCAGAAGATCAATCCTAATGATATTTTTGCTTCCTCACGATGAATTCTAATAACTTTTGTGATCCCTGAACTCTCCATCTACCAGCATCTTCAGGTTCGGTGTTTATTTGTGAAGGGGTTCTGTTTAACCAAATCCCAGCTGTGCCTGTGTTTAGTGTTAATTAGCAAATGTCAGCATGTTAAAATACTAAGATGGTGAACATGACAAAAATGAAACCTCCTGAACATCAGTGTGTTAACATTGTCAATGTGAGCATGTTAGCAATTAGCAATCAACTCAAATTAATCAACACTGTGCCTTGATACATGCTCACAGATCTCCTGGCAAGGCTGTAGACAATTAAAAATGAATAAATACTTAATAATTTTCCTTCATTAGTTTTAATGCCCTGTCTTGTGTCCACCTGTCTGTCACAAATTGAATCCAAACAACATTTCCAAATTCAAAATGAATCTTAAGTAGCTGTAAGCATCAGAGGTTTGGAGAGTAAAAGCAACACAAGCGCATACACCTGGCAGAAATGCTGTCTGAATGATCAGAGAAACAGTTTCTTAATCAGTGCTGAATATGGGAATAGTTATATAAAACAGATTGCCACTGACAGAACGAACTGATCTGATCACACTCACAACAGAGCTTGGCAGTTGATGGTGGAACAGCTTTCTCCCTCCTCCAAAATCCCTCACTACATCATACACTGCTCATTGGCCTGAGCACATACAGGGTGGCCAGAGACAAAGCTAAAACTATTTTCACTCTGCGAACAATGTGTCACAATGTTGTATGGAAAGAATATTATTTTGTTACATAATAGATAAATATATATAATGGTATATTTACAAGCTATTGCACTGAGGCCTGATGGGGAAGAAACTGTCCTTGTTCTCCTGGTTGGTTTGGCGTACAGTGACCTGTAGCGCCATCCAGAGCGAAGGAGTTCAAACAGTTTATATCCAGGAGAGGAGGGGTCTACAGATGTTTTCTCTGCCATCCTTTTGACCCATGAGGTGTACAGGTCTTCCATGGTGGGCAGGCTGACACTGATGTCAGACTGTCCGCTGGAGTCTGTTCCTGTCCTGTTTGGTTGCTGAGCCAAACCAGACAGTGATGGAGGTGCAGAGAAGAGACTCAGTGATTCCTCTGTAGAACTGTATCAGCAGCTCCTGGGCATCCATCCGTCCATTATCTATACTACTTATTCCTGAATAAGCCAGTCCCACTTAAATAATTAATTGATTATCAAAATACTCCCACATACATTTTTTTGACTGACTGCTTGATGAAACCACTAACTGTTGCAGCCCAGTGCACTGAACGAGACCACAGAGAGACACAGATAAGTGGCAATCATTAAAAGATGCAGAATGACCAAAAAAACTTACTTCAGCCTGCATGTTTTGCTCCCAAGTAGGAGGTGTGGGGGGCCCTCTACATCTTTTGTGCCCAGGGGCCTACTGTTACATAGTCTGATGTCCAGATTCAGTCGTCACTAAACAGTGTTCAGTGGCTGAATAACACTGCAGAGACATCTAGCCCACAGTTACACAGTTTGAATGGCTTCAGCCTAAAGCTAGAGGGCGCATGTATCAGTGACCCATAGCCATACTTTAAAGACAAAATGGGCATCCTCTAACAAGTGTTCAATAATCTGGTCTAACAGGCTGCTAATGGACAAATAAAAACAAAAGAAAACTTACAGTCAGGTATCGAGATACAGTTCACAAGCTGAACTAGACGATGAGCTAATTGTTACTGTTGTATCACATTGTGCAGATGTACTGTATGGAAAAGGACAAACTGAACAAAAAGAATTCAGCTTATACAATATAACCACTGGCTCTATTGGTGCCCCTTTGGATATCCACCCTTGGATCAGATGCAGCGTTATTAGTCATGGTCTTATCCAATCAGCCATTCTTAATGTTTGGACTACTGGGCATTACTCTGGAGAGGACAGATTGTCTTTTATTGTCAGTTTGATTTCAAACTGGAGATTAGTCATATTCATGCAGTTGCTGGTGGCTCAGACCTCTGTGTGTGTGTGTGTGTGTGTGTGTGTGTGTGTGTGTGTGTGTGTGTGTGTGCTCCTGCAATGTTTGCATTTGTGTGTCCAGATATCTGTGTGGCCATTATTCACTTTGACAAACATTCATGAATAGCTTCATAAATAAAAGGAAAATGCAATTTAAACTAGCTTTCACAGGCTGTATGCTTATTGTTACACTGACAAAATGCATGGCTTGTAGTGGTGAGGTCATATAGACTAAAACCCTGTAGCTGCTCCGTAGACAATAAATAACTGAGCATCCATGACAGAATCATGGTGAATCTTGCCTCTGGTACCACTGAGGACACTGAAGTTGTGTCCTCATATTGTTTAATATATTTCTGGAAATTTTGGGGGGAGTTTAGCAAGAGTTTGTTTTTAGACTCAGTCAGTTATGACTGTTAGGGTGACATAACACTCAAAGAAGTGTTCAGCATTGACCCATCAGAATTGCAGAGGACTCTCTCCTAGAAATGAAGCTGAGTGAAAATGTAGTTAGAAAAAAGACAAATAAAACCAAAAAGCAATAAACTATCAAAACAGTAACACTTTACAACACCACATTTTATATTTATAAACAGAAAACATAAGTATATAGGCCTAAATGTCTATTTATTCCTATTTATTTTGACCTTTATTTTAACACTCAGCTGGCAGTTTATTATACAGCTAAAACTAATGTAGTCTAAGAGAAATGCCCTGCAATATAATTTCAGTAGATAATATTGAAGCTGAGGATGTGCTGCTATTTAATCGATGTAGGATATGTTATTTACAGTAGCTTACACTTACTGTAAATAACAAACACTAAACTTTTTAGTTAGTATTGGGTGCCATAACATTTAGGAACTAAAATAGAACAAAGTAGAATAGAATAGAACCATTTTCTGAAATTTTATGCTATAGGTTAGATTATGTTGGATTATTAGAGATAATAATAAGAAGATATAAGAATAATGATTTTTAAAAAGGGGACAGAGGCATGGTGGCAATTTTCTCAGGCTTTCGATTTTAATTTAAACCCATCTTCAGGAGCAGGCAACAGCAGCTAATCAATACCAGATGTGCAGGCTGATGTCACAGGTCTATACACAGCAGCTGTTTCACCATAATCCTTAGGTGCAGTAGGCTTCAACCTGTCAAACGGCCAACAGAGGATCTGAATTGATACTGTGATTGAAATTTGACTGGGAGACAGTTTATCAAACTTTATTGACAAAAATCCAAAGGGCTGTAGTAGGCTACAACGCAAAACATATTTTTGAATTAATTCTCCCTTTAAATTTCCTTTTCGCTCCCCTTGAGTCATCAAGGAGCATCACTCGTTCATTTTGGCAGCTGAGTGTTTTGTCGTGGGTCCTCGGATGCCCCCATCCCCACCCCCACCTCCCCCATCCCGCGTCTCGACGGACCAAACGCTGCTGCAGCCGCATCACCGGCAGCCTCCAAACTGCGTTTTCCCTGCCGTGATGGATAAACCGGTGAGCTGCTATCAGAAGACCGCTGTACTGTGAGGAGGACCGACGAACAATGACTGCGGCGGAACCGTGTCATACAGCCAAGGGATAAAAAAGGCAGTTATATTTCTAGTGATGTTATAGGACCGTGTTGTTTGCCTTCCCGACAGATAAACCCTCGGGTGACTGTGATATTACGGCCGAGATGAAGAGCTGGATAACTATTCCTGTGTGACCGGCAACGAACCGCTGCTGTTCACAATAACATGAAAAAGGTAAGACTGGTCCGGATTTACATCGGGCATTGCAGGTTTCAGTTAAAAACACCCCCCTGACATCTCGACTGGAGCTCGTCAGGCTGCATTGTTGCATCGCCAACCCGTCTTTTTGAGTTGAAATGGATGATTAGCCTGTTTTGAACAGGCTGCTCTTCACCTGTCGACTCATGAGCTGAAAGATGTCGATATGTGACTCGTAAATGTTATGTCACTAGTCTGTTTTCATTGTGAACTGGACTGTGGTTGGCATCGGGATGCCTGCACTAGAGCTGGCTCCAGCCTACCAGAGCCAAAGTCAGTTTACTGAAGCAATGGCAAGTTGAATAGGATATTTAAACCTGATGCTTTTAATCATCAGGTTTTAGAACTGATTGTACTTATGAACAATATGTGCATGATCTGTGTTTGACAAAGTTATCAGCCTCCTCTGCTTTGTATCCCTGATTTCCATAAGGAAAAGACAGCAGCTGAATTTACAGTTTGGAAAGGGAACAATTAGGCAAATCTCTGTTAGCTTTTAACCCAGTACAGATTTAGAATCAATCAGCACTAAATGATCATTTATTTGGTTGCATGGCTTTTGGTGAGCATAAACTCTGAGACTACAACAAATCCCCCCTTTGAAATACCATCTCTTTCTCTCTTTACTTGAATAATCTCAAAATATTCAGTGTTTTTCTTTTTCTTTTTTGGTATGAAAAATGGTAGTGTCTCCAAACCATTTCTGGGGCCCCTGTTTTCTGGATGGGGAAAGCTTTGTGTTTGCTGGATATAAACCTTCTCATGCTGAAGATGAGGCTGCGTCCATTGGAGAGAGGTTGATCGATATTCCGTTTGTATGGAGGCCCGTGTTTTAGTTATTGTTGTTGTCAAACTGAAGTCCCTATAATTAAAAACCCATTTTGGTAGTGAAAGGCTGATCCACAGCTCAATGGGACCACAAATCTGTGCATGTCAGAGTGAGTGAGACACAGTAAGTGCTCTGGCAGCCTGAAAGGTCTACACATTACAGTATAGGCTGAATGGCAGACAGCTCTTTCTCTGACTTCTGAACCGGTACACGCATCATGTGGGCAGGGTTGTTTGCATTTACACAAAAGGAGAAAAAACATTGAAACAGAGTAGTGAGCAGCACAAACAGAGCAGCTCAGAGAATCCAGTGTAAACAGCTCTGTTGGTGGTGAACTGTAGGCTCTCTGGAAGGTATCAGCGTCATACTGGAGCTGCTGCCAGGGAACCAACAGCTATGATGATACTGTAGCAGCGAGTTTGAAGGAAACCCAGCTGGCTCTGATCCAGGATGGTGGGTGTTTTTAAAACTGGCTTAGTCAGGGCTACTGCAGGGAGTGATTAGACAAGTTGGTGTACAGTATCACACACACATCGGCATGACGTCAAAGGACACGGAGCACTGAAAATCTTTTCGTGTCAGGAACTTGAGGAAACCTGCAACAACTGAAGCAGCACTGCACAGTCATACTGAATAGACTGATGACATGCAGGTTATCTGCATGAGCATTTTATGGCTTCGTCTGAAAAGGCTGCAGTTGGTGGACTGTGATGTCTCAGTTCTCTCTACTTTCACTTGTAACCAGTAGGGGAATATAACAAACTTTGAGTAACATCTACTTGACTGCCTTAAACATTTTATGTAACAAAGACAACAGCCTCTAAAGCCCAGTCGTTTCTCTTCTCTGTTTTATTTCTCTGCCTCTCAATAACGTATAAGTCATATGTGGTAGATATAAGTTGACAAACACAACAAGGTAGCAACAATATAACAATTCACTAGTCTTTTTATGGCACTCATTACTTTACATCCATTCTTCCCTTATCTCTACTGCTTATTCCTGAATAGGGTCACAGTGTTGGGGGGACTGGAGCTAGTCCCAGCTGACACTAGGTGAGAGGTGGGGTCCACCCTGGACAACCACACACATTCACATTCACTCCTATGGGCAATTTAGAGTCGCCAGTCAACCTAAGCTGCATGTCTTTGGACTGTGGGAGGAAGCCAGAGCGCCCGGAGAGAACCCATGCAGGCACAGGGAGAACATGCAGACTCCACACAGAAACGTATCGGGCTCAAACCCAGAACCTTCTTGGTGTGAGGCGACAGTGCTAACCACTGCTGCAGTACAAAGCTAATGTTAATGTTAGTCTGTCACTTTCTGGTTGACAGAGAATAAAAACTATAGTCCTTATGCAAGAACCGCCAGTACAAACAGACGCATTGTTAAGCAACACGTACAAGTGATTTAAGAGCATTTGCCAATTTTGTCTTAGTTTGAATTTTCAAGTAAAATTAACAAGTGGTCCCGACCTGTGTTATGATTCATGTCTCACACTGACTTGACCTGAAATGATAAAGTCTTAATGTGAGTGAGTTTGGAAATGAAATACGATATAACAATATAAAACCAAGACGAGCTTAAATTATTATAGTTTTTATGAACAGCTCCCTCTTTTGTGTCACAATAACACTACTCTGAAGACGCTTCGTTGACAGTAGTGTTATTGTTACAGGTCCTTCAATGTGACTACTGACACTGCTAAATTTGGTACATTTTTATTTGCTATATATTTTTTTTAATTCTTAAGGTAACATTAGTTAGGACCTCTAGATTAGAGGGCCTTCATCATTGTAATTCAATTATAAACATGCTCAAGGTTATAAAACAAATGTTAAAAAGAAACAATGTTGACTGCAGTGCAGTGTTTTGTTGAACCATCCATCTACCCCAACCTCCTCCATACGCAGTTTGTCGATCTGTAACAGCGTCACCTGACTTCCACATCGCTCCTGTCATCATTACTACAGCCACCAGAGGGTTTTTTTGAGGCATTTCCTGAAAAGAGTGATGCTGCCTCACGCCATCACTAGATGTTGCTTGACAATAAAAGGTAACTGCTTGCTCGAACAACCTGTGGGGGCCAGTCTTATGACATGTGACATTGCAGGGGGCCAGTCTTATGACATGTGACATTTAAGACAGGTTTAATGAATTTGACTTGGAGCACTTGTACGAACAATCCTCAGAGCAAAAAGTTAGAAGGTTTTAGGATAAGGGTGTGAAAATGTTCTGGTATGAAGCCCCATGTGTTTACTGTCTTTTGGCTAAATTTGACTTTGATGAGGTAGTTCATATACAGTAGATATATAATTTCAAGCTGTTGTTTCTCTGTATTTACCATAGCAACAAGCCACCAGTGTAACTTCGGTTCAGACAGAAGAATGGCGCTGTGAACTCAGCCATGTGTACACTTCCTCCTTACCATCGGTGAAGTGTCTTAGTGCTCCATCTGTTCAGCTATTGCCTCATCTTCGCCTTCTCAGATTTGTGTATAAGAAGGACTCAAATGGAGAGCAAAAATGGTGTTATATCATCTCTGAGGAGAGCAGCTCATCTTGTTCTCTGTGTCTTCAGCAGAGAGAGATTTCATGACCTTCTTAATGCCACTTTCATGGAGGAGCTGGTGAAGTGGTTGGAGATGATTAAAGTCTGCCTTCACAGATGCTGTTCTTTACTGCTGTGCCAGTGACCTTTCCTGCCATCAGGTCATTGTGCTCAAAAAGCTCCTCTCCTCTGACCTCTTCTTTTCTCCCTTTGTCCCCTCTCCTGTCCTCTTCTTCTCTTTCATTTTTTCCACTCCTCTCCTCACTTCCCTTTGTGTCTCCTCCCCATTTCCGCTGCTTCTGTTCCTGTTTTGTCTCCCCTCTGCTTTTTTTCATCACATCACATCTCTCCTGTCCTCTCCTATCTTCTGGTCTAGTCTCCTCACTTCTCCTCGCCTTCCTCTCATCTCCTCACTTCTTCCATCCCTGTTTCTCGTCTTCTTATTTCCTTCATCCTTTTCTCCATTCCTTTCCCTTCCTCACATATAGCCGCTGCTCTCCTCTCCCCCCTTGTACCACGTCTTCTTCTCCAGTCCTCTCCCTGGTGCACATTGCCTTCTCCTCCTCCTCTCCTCCTCTCTCCTGTTCAGTAGTTTGTTTACAGTAATGCAGCAAAAAAATAAAAGGCAAAACAAATCAAATGACAACTGGTCTACTACATCACACCACAGAACTCTCTTTCTCAGTATTCATCAAATCAGAGTTGAAAAATCTTCCTCTTCTTGCATAATGGATCAAAATAGAAACAACTGTTTTACACTGTGTGCCTAAGAAGCATCTTGTTTTCTCACTGCATGTGTCATTTTACAATAAGCCCCTGCCCGGGCTGCATCGGGATCCTCTGACACATTTACATGTTGAGCTGAACGTTTCTCACCAGGGACAATTAATCAGCACATTAATGAGTCTGTGTCCCCTGGTGATTATTTATGTCTCATATGTCCAGAGCAGGGAAGATCCCATCCCAGCTGTTTGTTCATGGCAGTGTTTTTATAGCAGTCCTTATTTTTCATTCAATGTCAGAAGAATAACAGTTTTCTTGGGTTATTAAGCATTAAAATTGGGTTGACGTAAATGAAATGGAAACAAGAATAAATAATTAATGAAGTTTTGGCTTATTTGTTCTCCCTGTAGGTTACAATCAAATGTATCTTAAAACTAATTGATATGGACAAGAAAGAAGGCAGGCAAAGAAGTTGTCTCATGTGATTGAGAAGTATTTGCTGTATGAAAGACGAAGCAGTGCAATACCAAGGATGCTGCAGAACAAATGGAGGGTTTCATAGTAATATTTGGTACCATTGAATCATAAGCTGGCTTTAATTACTTACAGTACATATAAAAACAAAGGTTTTCAAAGCAGATTTTGCTTTTTGGAAGCCTGCTTTTCTCTGGCAGGTCCAAATCAAATTCACAAAGATATACTTAGGGGCATTGCTAGACATAAAGCTGCCCATTACTCAAATCACAGTTTTTTTTATTGCACGTTTCTTTGCATTCTTCTGCATTTCACAATAATAACTAATTTGATTATCAAGCAACCCATCTGATTTGTCAAATTTACACTTACAGAGCAAGTCAAATTATCAACAAATCACTA